ACAGGTCCAATGAGGCTTCACTTATGCTGCTTGAGAAACTTCAATCTCACCCGCATCCTAAAGTGACCAGAGAGAGCAAGACAGTTCATGTTCAGCTTTGAGGTCATTATTGGTTCACAATTTGTTTATGACTTTTTGCTTATCTTTTATAATCAAACATGGTAGAAACTTTTCAAGAGGTAAAATGTCTACATTGTAGTTCTATTCTCCCTTCTTTGGCAACCCTTTATTGCACTACAAATTCTTAAGGATACGTTTAGTATCTTCAACGAAAAAGAAAGTTGGGAGAAGGAAAGAAAAAATCGTGTAACATATTATTCTTGGTTATTATTGCTCTGTGATGTCTTCCTTTTTTTAATCATTCTGTTTAATGGAGACATGAATGCTATTGGTTAAAACTTGAAATCCTAGCAGGCTATGGAAATGATGAAGATGATGACAAGATCTCCATTTTTTTAATACAAGGCCATGGCGAACCATGCAAGGAAAATTATTCAAGTCATATCAGGCATCATACAATTTCTACACCTAAAGGGTAGATCGTCAAAAATTTTAATATTAAGGTTATCATTTAAAGCTCAATGGGCAAGATGCTAATGCCAGCAAGGGAATGGTTTGTGGTGAGATTGCTCTAAATGAGTGTGTAGAATACATGTTGACTTTGGAAAAACCACACTCCCAACATAGGTTGATGCTCTTGAGAATACCCAAAAGTTGAGTAACAATGTTGGGATAATAGTTAAGGTATTTTAAAAAGCCCTTTAACTAGTTTCCTTAATCATCACAGATGAAGCCTCTAGAAGTATCAAATCCATTAAAATTGACTAAGCTATCAATATCAAATTTAACATATCCAAGTTCAAGCAGGATCCATCTTGCAATAGTCCTATCATTGTCAAGAGACAAGTAATTGAGTTTTACATGGAGATTAAGATCATTGATTATATCTTGGGTGGCGGTGAAAGCTATGTCTCTGACAGGGATGTCTTCTTTTAAGCAACTAGGATCTCCATTTTCAAGATGTGAATGTGCAACGAAGTGCAATAAATCAAGTTCCGCCCTATCTTCTCTTTCTTATTTCTTCTATCTTTATTTTAATACTTGTTGCCTTGCAGAAGAGAATACTCCCGCCGATCCTATTTATAAGTACTTTCTATCAACTTTATCAATACCAATACAATAAAAATATAAGGAATAAAATTTAGTAAAATTATAAATATAACCCTCAAAAAGTAAAAAAACTATAAAATATTATTTTTCTGTTTCTCTCTCTTACTTTTTAAGGGCAGTTTAGATATTTTATTTAAAACAAAATATCACTATCAATCCAATGACTTATAAAGTGAATCACTTCACCCTTCCAAAAGGTGACCAATAGAGTGAACCAAAGGAGTATAAATCAATTCTTTTTGCACATAAATATAAGCACCTTCTCTGTTGTATATATGTTCACACGTCTTATAATTTTAAGGTTTCAGAAAAAGTGAAATCAATGTATTATTCATACGTATAACTGTCACATGTACGCAATAAATACTGTTACACCTGTACAGTCGTACGCATGCTGCAAACTAATACTTGCAACTACTTATAACTATACACAATTACTTTTGTCATCTACTATCTACAATAGTTTTAGTGCTGCTGTGAAGCAGAGATGTGAGCCTTTGTACGTTAGAGTCTAAAAAATGAGTCACCCTGTTTGCAGGCTTGTAGCCAGTGAGCAATGCTACTTCCTATGAATTGTATATTTAATATCGTTAGTGATGATGTCATGATGATTGATGATTCAGCTAATTAGTACAGAGAAGAATGGGAACTTGCTGTCATCACATGTAACAGTAATAGTCTGATTTCTAGTCCTAGGGTTCCGGAAATACATGTCATTTGACTTGGCTATTGTGAATGGCACTGGATCGTTAGGAAATGTATGCCCGTGGACCATTTTTCTAAATATGGTATTGAACCAATATTCTTGTAATTGTTGATTTTAGAAATGGAAATGCTATTGTTGTACTGAAATGACAAGGCATTGTACTGGTGTTATTTTCGAAAGTGGCTGTTCTGAAATGGGATGATGTGCTGTCAAATTTTGCAGATCAGATATAGTATTGTGTTCAGCAAGTTTCTTTTGCAAATGTTTTCTCACCTCTCGTGTTCTCCAACTTTTCTGATATGAGATTTGTATGCCATGTGGAGTTAAATTTGTGCCACTTAGGATGCCATGTCACTGCTCGTGTGTGATTGATTTTTAAAATATTTCTTCTAATTTTATTTATAAAATATTTTTAACCAATTTGTGTTCATTAAGGAATTTGGTTACAATTAACTAAGAGCCTTGATCTCTTCAAAAATTTTTATAAAATTTTCAAATTACCCTGAATTAAAATTATTAACTTTTTCTTTAAATCTTAAAGTCAAATATGTTACCAAAATGATGGTAAGGTTTACAACTATACATTCTCACTTGACTCTACACAAATGCTGGCAAACCAAAAAAAAAAAAGAGTGAACACAAATTATGTCTACATTTTTAGACAAGACAAGGGTTGCGTAATATATATATATATATATATATTTGTTTCTTTCTTATAATTTTGTGTTGGCTTTTTTAAAATGTTATAATAAATTTCTTAAATTTGACAACAATTTTGGGGTTTCAAAGAAAAATGTCATGAATGCGTTGTTAAAGTTGGGGTATGGGAAGACAGGGAAGTTACCATGGTTCAACCCCCCAAATTTATAGGGGGAAAAGGAACTACAAATATGTAACTTTTATAAATAAATAAATAAGTTCTCTTACAATTCTATATATCTGGTAAGAAAAATAATTTGTTCACCTCTCTACTTTGGATATTCAAATCTGCCGGCCTCTGGACTCTTACATTCCTATATGTTCAGTAATATATTTATAAACATTATTTAAGGCATAACACGTGCTATAGTCTTTCTGCAATGTGTTTGACTTTTCCTTACTATTCTCACGTCACGACTAAGACTTCTCACTCCAATCGAAGGTTTTAAATTTTAATGCGCAGTTTTAAATAGAGGATTTGAATTTAAATTTTATAATCAAAATTTACCTATTTAATTTTTTTAAATAGTAAAAAACTTTCAAATTTAAAGATAATAAAAAAATATGCAAAATGAAAATGGAAAAAGAAGAGAGGGAGTATCATTTTAAATAATTAGAATATAAGAGAACTTGAAGATTATAAAAAATATAAATATGAATTTGAATTCACAAATTTTTATAGATACTATCAGTAAATTTAGCTCAAATCTAAATTTAAAATCCTTACGTCCAGATCTAAAATTTTTATTGCAATGCTTTTCTTTTTGTCATCTTTTTTCCTGCCAACCCTTTTAAAATTGCTTTATTATTGTCGTCTTAAGATAAGGTGTGCTTGGAATTCTTTGTAATTGTTTTGAAAAAAAAAATTGAGACCAACTATTTTAATGGATTCTCTTAATAAAATACTTTAGGTAAATTACGTTTTAAAACTCGCTAGTGTAGTGAGGATGGTAAGGAAAAGTCAAACACGCTGCAGAAGGCAAAGCAATAAAATAATAGAATCATGGGAGAATTTTAATTAAAAATTATGAATTTAATATATTCTCTTTATTTAAAAATATAAAATATTTTTAATTTTTTAAGGTGTAATTATTATTATTTTTTTAAATACCTCTATTGATAATGACTTTATATTTATTATAAGGCAGTTAATAAAAGTAAATATAAAAAGATTGGGCTAGTTTAAAAACAGGTAACTACTTTATTAGAGGTGGGATTCGGTTAAAAATATCTTATATTTTTTAATAGACGGAGTAATTATTAGTGAGTCTCAAAAAAAATTAAAAACTTTAGTTTACTTAAGAGAATTAAAGTGAAAACAATTTTAATGGTAAAAAATTAAAGTACCATACACTTATTATACAAAATCATTAGTTATTATTTTTCTTATTTCACTTATTAATATATTAATATGAATTATAAATTACATGAATTGACATATTAATAATTATCTATGACTTGATATCAAGTATTCAATCATACACAATAATATTAGTTGTTAAATTATTAATTTTATTTGTTAATTTACTAATATTAATTGTAAATTACAATACTTGTCAGTAATTTATAATTGATATTAGTAAATTAATAACTGATGTTATTGTTTGTTTGAAAAATGAATGTAATTTATAATTCATATCAATAAATTAATAAGTGAAGTAAAAAAAATTAATAACTAATACTTTCATCTTTTTATTTTTTAAATTATTTGCATTTCAATTCTCTTAAAGTAGATTAAACTAAAATTTTATCGACAACTAATAATTATGTATAATAAATAAATGATACTTATGTTTTTTTTATTTTTGAAATTATTTACATTTCTTCTCTTACATTTTTTTAATACTCACTGCTACTAATTCAATTGCTATTCCGGTCTTAAGTTGAAACTTCGCTACAATCGATAAGCTTTATGATCGTTGGTCAATTGAAGTGGAAAACGCAAAGAAAGCTTTTATGATCGGAAAGGGAGATCTTCAAGCCAAGATACCAAAACCTGATAAACAGCGCCATCATTTCCATCTCTCTGGTTAGTTTCTCATAATTATTTTGACTCCATCTCTACAGACCCACATCGACATCATCCATGGCGGGGGCGTTTGTTGGCGGTGCTCTTCTCTCTGCTTCTCTTCAGGTGGCATGTGAGAGGCTGGCTTCTCGTGATATTCTGGACTTCTTCAAGAAACGGAAATTGAATGAGACATTGCTAAACAAGTTGAACATCATGCTATTATCCATCAACGCTGTGGTTGATGATGCAGAGCAAAAGCAGATTGCGAATCCGAAGGTGAAGGACTGGATTGATATGGTGAAAGATGCGGTGTTCGATGCTGAGGATGTCTTAGACGAGGTTGATTATGAAGTATCCAAGCGCAAGGTGGAAGCTGAACATCAGAATCAAAACAGTGCTACTCGCAAGGTACGACATTTCATCAGTTCTTCTATCAATTCATTTGAGAGGGAAATCGAATCCAGGATGAAAAATGTCCTTGATAATCTCGAGTATCTTGCGTCTCAAAAGGCTATATTAAGATTAAATGAACTTGATAGTGGTGCTGGATTGAGAAATGCAGTATCATATAGATTGCCTACAACATCTTTGGTGGATGAAGGTAGAACGTACGGGAGAGATGATGACAAAGAAAAGATCATTGAATGGTTGTTATCAGCCAATGATAACAATCAACTATCAGTCAATTCTATAGTGGGTATGGGTGGGTTAGGTAAAACTACTCTTGCCCAACTTGTTTACAACGATAGGAGGGTGATGGATGAATTTGATATTAGAGTTTGGGTGTGTGTTTCTGAAGATTTTGATGTCCTGAGGTTAACAAGAACAATTTATGAGGCAATCACCATGTCAAAGGCTGATACTAATGATCTAAATATGCTTCAAATCAAATTGAAGCAGTTGCTAACTCAGAAGAGATTTTTTCTTGTTTTAGACGATGTGTGGAATGAAGACTATGAGCAATGGGAGGCTTTACAATCACCTTTTAGTTATGGGGCATCTGGAAGCAAAGTTCTTCTAACCACCCGCAGTAGAAAAGTTGTTTCAACCATGCGTTCTACTGAAATACTTCCATTGAAGCCCTTATCAGAAGGAGATAGTTGGTTGCTACTTAGCATATATGCATCCCGCGATGGAGATATTCTTCGCTCAAACTCTGACCTTGAAGAAATTGGTAGAAAAATCAACAAAAAGTGCAAAGGGTTACCTCTAGCTTTGAAAGCAATTGGGAGTCTCTTGTACACGGAATTATCTCATGAGCAATGGAATGGCATTTTGAAAAGTGAGATATGGGAGGAGAAGAGTGATAGCAAAATTCTCCCTGCATTGAGATTGAGCTATTGTTACCTCCCCTCTCATCTCAAGAAATGCTTCGCTTATTGCTCAATATTTCCCAAAGATTATGATTTTGAGAAGGAGAATCTAATTCAATTGTGGATGGCAGAAAATTTTCTTCCACGTTCTAATCAAAGCAAAAATGCAAGAGAAGTAGGAGAGCAATTCTTCCATGATCTTTTGTCAAGGTCACTTTTTCAACAATCAACAGGAGATGAAACACGTTTTGTCATGCATGACCTTATTAATGACTTGGCCAAAGCTGAATATGGAAAGTTTTGTCATAGGTTGGAGGTAGATGAGGCAAATAATCTGACAAAAATGACCCGCCATGTTTCATACTTAAGAACTGATAATGATTCTCCCAAACGGTTTGAGGATATATACCATGCTAATAGATTACGCACCTTCTTGCCACTATCCATGCAAGGTCATAGAAGTACAAGTTGCACCTCGTTTATTCATTTGATATCTAGCAAGATTATTCATGATCTGCTGTCAAAGTTTAGTTGCATGCGAGTTCTATCTCTATCTGATTATTATCACATTGTGGGGTTGCCCAATTCAATAGGCAATCTCAAACATCTACGATATTTGGACTTGTCAGGAACTAAACTAAGGAAATTGCCTGATTCAATATGCCAACTTTATCATTTGCAAACTTTAAAGTTGTGGCGTTGTTATAATTTGGAGAAGTTGCCCATGAATTTGCATAAACTCATTAATCTACGACATCTTGATTTTCGTGAAACTCAGGTGAGAGAGATGCCAAAGCAACTGGGTGAATTTAAAAATCTCCAGGTCCTATCACCATTTATTGTGGACAAATATGGTGAGGCCAATATTAAACAATTAACAGAACTTAATCTTTGTGGATCAGTTTCCATTTTAGAGTTGCAGAATGTAGTTTCTCTTGCAGATGCTTTTGGGGTCAATTTGAAAAGCAAGACATACGTTAAGGAGTTGGTGTTAGAGTGGAGCATAAACAATGAAGAATCACAACATGACAAGAATGTGCTAGAGATGCTTGAACCTCATCCAAACTTAAAAAGGCTATCAATTAGCAACTATGGTGGTATTAGGTTTCCAGATTGGTTTACTAAGTTTGCACTGTCCAACATAGTGTCACTGGAGTTGAAGAATTGCAAATGGTGTTTGTCCTTGCCGTCATTAGACCTCCTTCCATCTCTAAAGTCTCTATTAATTACCGGGTTTCACAGTATAGTGACTATAGGTCCAGACTTTTATGGAAATGGCTCTACCACTACGTCCTTGGAAATCTTGAGGTTTAGAGATATGATGACTTGGGTAGAATGGAAATGTGACGTTGTCTTGAGTGCTTTCCCATATCTTCAAGAGTTGAGTATAGAAAATTGTCCCAATCTAAAGGGGCACCTTCCTCAACAACTTCCTTCTCTAAGGATGTTGGTCATAAACGATTGTGAGAAGTTTGTGGCTTCAATTCCTTGTGCTCCATCTCTTCATAAATTGGTTCTAAGAAATTGTGGAAAGGACCATTTGGAATATCTTCCATCAACTCTAAAAGTTCTCGACATTTCAGGACGCTTTGAAAAAATGTTATCCATTGAAATGATTGATGATACTATTGCCAACTCCAACCTTGAAAAGTTGAAGTTTTTTGATTGTCCATTGCTAGAATTCCCATTGTTCTACTCTCATAACTTCATTCTTGAAATGGAGATAAGAGGAAGATGCAACTCTTTGATGTTTTTTCCACTAGATTCATTCCCAATGCTTCAATCATTGCGGTTGATTGACTGTAATAATCTTGAGATCATATCTGTTTCAAAGGGACATCATCAGTCTCTTACAAGCTTGTACATACGAAAGTGTCCTAAATTAGTATCATTTCCCAAAGGAGGGTTTTTAGCCCCAAATTAGTATTTTGTTCAGTTGAAGAATTGGAGAATCTGAAATCACTACCTGAGCGAATGCACATTCTCTTTTGCTCACTCACACATTTGATTATAAGAAGTTGCCCACAGGTGGAATCATTTACAAAGGGATATTTGCCATCAAATCTAACAAATCTTGAAGTCTTTGGATGCCCAAAACTCATAGCCTCTCGACTGGGATGGGGTTTGAATAGTCTTTTGTCTCTAAGATTATTGACACTTGGAGATGCAAATGATGAGTCTCTTCCTGATATAGGACTACTGCCACCTAAGCTTGCTGCCCTTATATTCTATAACTGTCCAAATCTTAGATCATTGGAGCACAAAGGTCTTTGCCACTTGTCCTCTCTAGAGTTCTTGGCTTTTCGTGACTGTCCTAAACTCCAATACTTTCCAAAGGAGGGTTTGCCTCGTTCTCTTGTAGAACTACGAATTACTGGCTGTCCCTTGCTCATAAATTGGATCCAAAAACAAAAAGGCAACTATTGGGCAAAGATTGCTCACATCCCTTTTGTTGAGATTGACAATGAGATACTAACTTTAAGTGAGCTGCTCAATGATGAAGGCACCAGTTTTCATACAATTTATTCACTCATTAGGTATGTATATGATCCTTCCCTTTGTTTCTCTTCTTCTTCTTCTTTTTTTATTTATTTATCTACAGATGATAGATTTTCTTTTTTTATTTACGTTTCAAATCATAAATGTTAGATTTAGGCCCCATGTATTGCATGAATTATAACTGAGTGCCCTTCTCAAATGCCTAGATATCAATTGCCCTAATATCAAGTAGCAGAGTAGCTCAGTTATCAGAAATATCAGGTTTTGAATTATACTGAAGCGAACATGCCCATAATTTCATAGGAGATGCTTAATATTCATGAGATTGGTTCAAAATCACTTGGTTTCCATTGTTTTTGAATTTGACAATTGAGTCAGTTTTTCATTGCCGTTGAAGTGGCCTAAGCAGCTTTCTCAAGGAGACAAGCAAGTTTGGTGCTGAATAGACTAAACCCTAGGATTAGAGTATGTTCTTATTCAGGTTATCAGTTGAATTGATTTTTCTTTATTTTTTCTCCTGAGGTTAAATTGATATTTCACTTGCTGATTACCAATTGTACTTCAAATATATTATCATCAAGAATGGTTAACCCTTCCAAACCTTTGTGATGATAACATGATAAGCAGATCATTGTAGGAAAGTCTTCATTGTATCAACCACAAATTTTGAAGCCACACATGGCTACAGATAACGGTAGTGATTCTTTCTTTTTTCTTTTTTCTTTTTTTACCTTTTTACAAATCTTTAAGTCATGTATTTCATTTTCTTTTTCTTTTGGAGTTTTGAATTATATTCTTATGGCAGATTTCATATCAAAGTGATAAGACCAAGACATTTATTTCAAATTTGCAGTTATGGTGCTGAGCTTACGATTTTTCTTGCATGTACATGCATCCAATATCTTTCAAGTAATTATATTTTAATTTGCTAGTGTATTATTTGTATGGCAGCTAAATATGAATGCATACATTTATCTTTTGCATTGAAGACTATAATATCATTGTGCACCATAATAGGGTCACGGCATCCATAACTTCGATGCAATTTCTCCCTTCAATTTGCATTTCCCTTTCGTTCTTTTTTTTTTAATATAAGCCAATTGTGAGAATTATTAAATATGATTCTCTCTTCTTTTAAACAACTATATTTGACACTTTGAGAATTGCCTTTTCTTTACGTTGATGCATTTGATTGCTTGATTGAACTGTTAGATACAGTTTTTGAAGGACAAGAAAATTAATTTCCTAGACATCAGATTGGAAGCATTGCAAAATGTGAGAATTTTGACAACATAAAGTATGCATATTAATATAAAAAAAATAATTATTTTATTAAATGAAATTACTTCATTTTGGTTCCGTGCAATTTTAATTCCCAATGAAAATTTTCTAATTACTTAATTTCCCCCCTTTCACAGATTCTCATATTGTCCCCACTGACAAAGGAGTCTCTTCTGTGAGACCTCATATTGGACACTACAAGATGTAGTACTGTTTCTTTGAAATCATGAGTCTCCATTTGCTAAGAAAGGTATACTCTTTTCCCCTTCTACACTTAATATTAGGGCAATACTGTTATTCCTCAAATAATAGTATCAAAATTGAAAATGGAAGCAAGGCAAGATAACACATCCCTTGCTTACAGATTAATCATTATCTTGATTCACCAGTTTTGAGGGTATGCTTGAGAGTTTGGAGGACAAGTGCAGGAAAGACATAGAAAGGGATAGAATGGTTGAATTACAAGTTCACTTGCCCTTGCTTAGGAAAGGTTTCTCCTCCAAAATCCCCTAGATTAAAACTTGACTTCAAGGTTCTCTGAAAATCCTCAAGCATCATCTCTTTCTTATGTATAATTTACAAACAAAAAGGTTTCTGTGAAACCTTTAATTTCCTGTTCTTCTACTCCATTGTCCCTGGACCTAGCATACCATAGAAGGGATGTTCATCACGGCTTAGTTGTCTAGCAGATCATTCGGTTTTTACTCTAATATGACATCTTATTTCATAATGGGAATATTTCCTTTCTTTGGCAAGCAGTGTTGGGAAAAGTATGCTGATGCGCTGCAACAGGTTGGCATATCAAAGGAATAGAAGAGAATCCCTCAACTTAGAGGTGACTTCTATTTTCTTTTCTGAATATCCATGTTTACAGATATCTTCATACATTAATTCATGTCGGTTTTGATTCTACTTGGCAAAGATGAAGCTCGTGAAAATTAGTCTTCTGTTGAACCAAGCTTAGCAGCTCAACCACAATGCAATCTAGTTCTCTTGTTATCTGAAAATTCCATGTTTGCATGTTTCTTACTACATGAATTCATGAAACCATGATTATATTTTGTTGATCCAATCTTGGCAACTAAAGTAATTTGCAATCTAGTTCCCAATTTTGGTTAAATGGTTTAGTACTTTCTTTTTTGATGCAATTAAATGGTTTAATACTTATTCATGGTTTTGATGATGCCAACTCATACTGTTATAGTGTATTAAAATTATAGAAGCCAAATGCAAAAAGAAAATGTCATTTTCTAGCCACCACCTATTCTAATTTCTTTTGCATTAGGTCCATATTACTTATTTCAAAAAACAACCAAAGAGGGGGCAAAATATGAGAAAGGCCTGATGTCCTATGAAGGAAATGACCGTTCCTGCTCAAAGTGAGAGAGATGCAAATGGTAGAAGCCACTATTGAGCACCATTAGTGGTCTGAAAACATGGACATTGGCAGGTTGCCGACAAAATTTGAAGCGCTCCAATTCTCAAAGTTCATTCATAAATGCAACTCCATGAAATTGATTGCCAAGAAGACTGTGTGCTCAATACAGAAAAAAATTATCTTCTCCACATTCTGAGTTTCTATCAGTCTCGTAGTATACACTCTTCCAAAAGAAGTTGATTTTTTGTGATGTTGTGAGCAATAACTTCCCTTCTTTCTTGAGTTGAAAACTTAAACTCTAGTTAGCAGCACAATTATTTTGTTTATAATTAGTTTAATTATAGTTTAATTATAATTTTGATCATTAATCTTTAAATTAAAATATCACTTCAATTCTGGAATATCAAATTCTAATTAAAGATATCCACCGAATGTTTTTTTTTTTTCGAGTAAAAACGGCAACATAAAATATATTCAATGACTTCTGAAAAGGATACAATAACCTGGCTCCAGAGAAATCAAATTCAACCTAGCACTTCCCACTAGGGCACTAACGGCACGGCTTGTTTAAATATTTAAGGAAAAAGTAATATTTGATCCTTATAATTTCATGCGGTTGTCAATTTGGTTTTTATAATTTTAATTTTTTTAAATCACTCTTTATAGTTTCAGTCATTTGAACCATTAGTCCTTGACCTTTAAACTGTTACGAAATTAACCCAACAAAGTCCAACTCAGCATGATGCGTTAAATTGAAGCCAACTTAGCATGACATATAAAAATTTGCTGAGTTAGTTTTTATTTTTTTTAAGGCTGAAAAGAAATAAAAATTCACATAAGATTAAACGCAAAAGATGCTTTCACTTTAAACAGAAGGTAGAGGACAGAGCCCTAGAGTTTTGACATTTCTCCTCCGAGAGCTTCACGATTCTTCTGGGTCTTTTGTGATTGCTCTCATCTAAGTGTTTCTCCTCTTCCGTTCTACGATATTGTTGCAGAGATTGGGCAAAAGTAATAGTATGAAGGAAAAGTCCTGGCAGACGATAAACGTCGCAAGACAAAGAACAAACCATTTCAAATTGTGGTCCCTGTGCTCTTTTTAGTTTCGTTTTTTTTCATTTATTTATTTGTTTTAGCAATTCCTGAATTAGTTTCTTTTCCTTGGTTCAATTTGAAATAGTTTTGTGGAGAGTACACTACTTTCATCGCGAATAAAGTGGCCTCAATTTAATGCCATGGAAAAAGTGCTTTGATTTTGTCTTTTGCTTTGATCTTTAAAGATAAATTTGAGTACTTCAATTTTTGGAATAAAAAGTTAGATCGCATATTCACTTTTTCGCATTGCATCAAATGGACAACAATCTTCCTAAACAAGACAGTAAATAATTCCAACTCCAGTGTTCAAAATTTTTAGTACTCCAATAAAATTTCAACTCCCAGCAACCTGCAAAATCTGAACTACTATAACCTCAAAAATAGTAGAAATATTCAGAAAATAATAGAAATAAAAAGTCCCATTTATTTGCTAAAATATGAAAAATACTAGAATGCAAAACATGACCAGACCAGCAAACAAATTCACAACAACCAGTCAAAAATTAAGATCATCAGTACAAGAGTGATACATGTCGTCGACAATAATATTCAGCTTACGGTGCTTCAACTTTGTCGCTTTAGCTTTATTGTCTCTCTTGCTCAATTTTTTCCTTCAAGCGACACAGTGACAGATCGAGAAAAATAAATCGATTGGGGCATAATTTATAATTAAAATAAATATATATTTTTTTAAAAAAATAATTATATATAATTATATTTTTTATATAAGTTAATAAAATTAAATATTTAAAACAATACATAAACATAACATTAGAATAACATAAAATACTCTCTTCATATACAGCATCATAATTTTTTTAATTTTTATTAAATAAAATTTATATTCCCTCACTTAAAAAATGTAAGACATTTTTAATCAAATCTCATCTCAATAAATTAGTTAGTTGTCTTTAAACTAATACTGTCTTTTCATATTTATTCTTATTTAATAAAATATTTCATTTTAAAATAAATATAAAGTGATCTATTTATTAAGAGCACTTTTTAAAAAAACACATTAATTACACATTAAAACACTAAAAATATCTTATATTTTTTAATGTCCAACACCTAAAAAATGCTTGAGGGAGTATACTTCTTTTGTATGGTAAAGAATTTTGTACACAAAAACTCTTCTTTTTCTTATCACCATTTTGCCTCCAAAGAAATTACATGTTTGAGAATTTTTTGTACAAGATTTTTTTCATAAACAATTTTTTTCTGAACTATTACTTTTTCAAATAAAAACTATTACTATTCAAGGTTATATATATATATATATATATTATAGTTTTAGATAATAAATTTTTTAATGGGATGAGTAAAATTTTAAAAGAAAATAAATAAAATTCTTTTAAAGTGAGGGGGCAATTAAAATTTTTTTAAGGGGCCAAAAAAATATAACCTAAGTCATTTTAAGTAATTTGTTCTTGGGTTGTGGGGCCAATTGCCCCCACTACAGCAAACATGGATCCGTCCCTGAAGCGACACCTTATTTCTTCCTTCTTCCCCTGAAACTTTTATCATCGACCACGCTCTTCCTTCATATTGTTATTTTGCCACAATCTCTTTGTCAATACCATAGAATGAAGGAGGAAAAATGCTCAGATGAGATCAATCACAAAATGCCCAGAAGTATAGTGAAGCTCTGAGAGGAGAAGCGTCAAAGCCCTAGGTTCTGTCCTCTGCATTGTGTTAAAAGTGAAAGCCTCTTTTGCGTTTAATCTTATGTAAATTTTTATTTCTTCTCAGCCTTTAAAATAAATAAAAACTGACTCAACAAATTTTAATTTGTGTCATGTTGAATTCGCATCAATTTAACACCATCATGTTGAGTTGAACTCTACTAAGTTAATTTCATAATAGTTTAAAGGTCAAAGCTTAATGATTTAAATGACTAAAATTATAGGAAGTGAGTTAAAAAAAAAATTACAAGGATTAAATTGACAATCTCATGAAACTATAAAGACTAAAATATTTTTTTTTTCAATATTTAATGCACCGTTAATGATTCAATCAGGCGCAGCTCAAAATCAAAGATAGGCCTAATTTTTATTTTTATTTTATTTTGGTGTGAGCACCTGGTGCCCTGACCTGGTTTTACTTGAGCTGTGAGAACTTAATGGAATCTAAACTAATCCATATCTAAGCAGGACAAGCATTACAAGAGTGAGTACCCCTAACCACTTACTTTTCATCCACGGTGAAACTTCCCTTGACATTTTATAGGGATATTGATGAAATTTATCTTAAAATTACCTATTATTACTTCAATTTTTAAATATTTTTTCTTCTCCTTGTTAAATAAAATTTATTTTTGGAAGTTTATAGCTTTTTATAAAAAACTAGGATTTAAAATTGTATTTAATTACTTTTATTAGTATTAATAATTTTAAGAAAAAATATTTTATAAAATAGGGTAGTGGCTAATGGTAGTGAATAGTGAAAGGCCTAGATATCATAATAAGTTAAGAAAAAATATATTCGTAAGTTTTTATAATTTCACTCAATTTTAAATTAGATTCTTATAATTTATTTTGTTTTTATTAAATATTTATAGTTTAATATATTATATATGTTAACTTCTCAAGGTTAAAATTAATAATGGGTTATTAAATTTTACAAAAAAAAAAAGCACTCTTGAAGTTTACAAAAAATGTAATTTAATACTTTTAACAAAATTAAAAAAAGAAAAATTTATTTAATATGATGTTTACATTTTATTAATTTTTGGATTAATGAGTAAAATGAACCTTGAAGTATTGTGTAAAAACTACCCTAAACACTAAATTTTTAAAATGTGTAAAATGGATTCTAAACTTTCAAAATCATAATAAATTAAACTCTACCGTTAACTTTTTTTTCAATATTGTTAATGTTCATTTATTAATTAGCACCACAAACTCTAAACTATTATGCAAGTAACGTCTTGAACTCTAAACTTTAAAATTTTAAGTAAATTATTCCTATCATTTATGTATAGAACGTTGACTATTATGTGGACTAAACTAGTCTCAGCGTGGTCCGCAATGGTGAATACATCGTCGACTGTGGCGAATGACCTATAATTTTATAAAATAGCATTTTTTTAGCCCTTTTTTGTGATATTTTTCTAATAATTGGTATCTCATACTTTGTATACTCTATAGCTCTAATTTAATCTTATTTTGAATAATATTTATTTATTTAATGGTTAAAACTTGGTATCTCATTGAAAAAAAAGTTTAAATATTAGAGAATTTTAATTAACTGGTTAATTTGGTTTTTAAATTCATTGATGAAATCGTCAGCTTTCGCATTCATCATCTGTAAAATTCTCTAATACTTAAACTTCTTTTGAAATGGGATCCCAAGTTTTTACTATTAAATAAATAATAATTATTTAAAATAAGATTAAATTAAAGTTATAGAGTATGCTAAATGTGAGACGCCAATCATTTGGAAAACATTGCAAAAAAGGGGAGAAAATGTTATTTTACAAAATTATGGGCCATTCACCATGACTAATGATGCGTTCACCACGACAGACCACGTTGAGAGTAATTTGATTTATACAATAGTCAACGTTCTATATATAAATGATGGGATAATTAGCTCAAAATTTTAAAGTTTAGAGTCTAGGACACTATTCGCATAATAATTTAGAGTCTGTGGCATTAATTAATAAATAAACAGTAACGATATTAAAAAAAAGTTAACAGTAGGGTTTAATTTGTTATGAATTAAAAATTTAAAATTTATTTTATATATTTTAAGAGTTTAAGATTCATGGCTCTTGTTGTGTAATATTTTAGGATCTGTTTTGCTCATTATCCCTTAATTTTTTTATGAAAACTCTCTCTCTCTCTCTCTCTATATATATATATATATTTAGAAGACAACCAAAAAATATAAATTTGAGTTATAAAAATTATGTAATTGATTCTAAAGTCATATAATCACTTAATAAAAACATAAAAGTTCTTGATTTTTTTTAAAGAAAAATTTAAGAATTTTATAAGGGATTAAAATATTAAATTGATCAAACTATAAAAATTCAATTAAATAAAATAAACTGTAAGAACTTAATTTAAAATTGAGTAAAATTATAAGGACTTATATATATATATATATATATTTCTATAAATTAGTAACAAACCTTTGCATGAGCGTAATATCAGCGGCTGTTCTTAATAAAATAATGATATAATAATTGTAAATTTCATTATAAAAAATATTACTTAATAACTATATATATTTTTATAAATAAAAGTTTTTTCTTAAATTATACCTTTTCCATATTTTAAACTTTAAGTTAAAAATAAATTAAAATATAAAAAAATTAAACATAAACAAACATCACAAACGTAAAACTCATGACATCATCTACTAAACTTTAGAAACGATTGGTCTAAAATAAATATTTCAAAGGTTGCCCGAAAAAATAATACGCATTTCAAAGGGTGGGGAATAAAAGATCAGACAAAAGCAAAAACGTTAATATATATATATATATATATATGTATGTATGTATGTATATGTATATAATCTTCTTTAAAGTTTGAAGCAGTTAGGTGTAACTCTCATATTTTAAAAAATTAAAATTAATTTTTTTTTAATTTTTTTATTATAGACTCCCCTATCATTGTTTCTTAACTATTTTATTAATAGAATTTATTATGTCATATTTAGAAAAGATATATAACATTTTGTGTAGCATCCTATATAAGTTAATAATAATTTTATAAAAAATTATCCACATTTTTTTCTGCTAGTAGTAGTTCATATTTTAACGTATAAATCTTTATTTATAGGATTACTTCTTAGTGTTGAAAATAATTAAATATTTTTTTCGTTATCTCATTAATGAGTTATTAACAATTGTGGGCTTTGAAAAAAATAAAAAGTAAAACAAAAGGTTAGGGAAGCTTATTTTAAAGGAAAAACATAGTCATTTATTCTTATTAATTTATAAAATTTTACTTTTAATCTTTATAATTTTTTTAATATTTTCAGTTCATATAATATCAATAAAATTGAGTCACGTTTGTTATTTTGGTATTTATAATTTTAATATATAGAGATTAAAAATAGTGAAAAAATTATAAAATTTAAAATTAAAATTTAACAAAATTATAAAAATTAATTATTATGTTTTTAAAATTTTAAATATTTAAAGATGATAAGATTTAATAATATTAAAATTGAGGAATTTTGCATATTTTAATACTCATATGCAGAAAAAGACTTGACAAATGGTATCAGAAGTCTTGGATGTGAAGCGGGGGATGTAAAAACTAAAAAACGTCTTCCGGACAGCTTTCTACCTGCCTGTTTGATTAACCTCATTAATCAATTTTTTGGGAGGAAATCGATTTTTAAAAAGAAAGTATCCAAACAGCACAGTCATGAAATAATCGATTATCAATTTTTTTATTAAGCTATTTATACAAATTTATTTGATTCTCATTTACCATATTAATAATCAATAATTTTTTAATAATTTTATTTTTATATTAATTAAAATTTAATAAATTTAATAATATTATATTTAACTTTATTAATAATTTAATTTTTAAAAATAATATTTTTATAATAATTTATATAGTTAAAATTAATTCTGATTAAATTATTTAAATATTTTAAATTTTATTAAAATTAATTTTAAAAAAACAGTATTTAAATATATTACGTTATAATTTAATCATAATTTATAATTAATACGCAACAGAAAATCAAACGAGGTCAATATGATCGGAATTCGGAAAGACACATCTTCAAGCCATGCACACCAACCCAAACACACAGTGCATCATTTCCAATTTTGCATCTCCGGTCATTTCCTTCTGTTGAATCATCTCTGCAGATCCCCAGGTCCCCAACGAACTAATTGTTGGAGCGTTGGTTGGTGGAGTTGTTCTCTCTGCTTTTCTTCAGGTGGCTTTTGACAGGCTGGCTCTTGCAATGTTCTGGACTTCTTCGAGAAACCGAAATTGAAACAGACGTTGCTGAATAAGTTAAAAATCGTGCTGTTCTCCATCGACGCTGTAGTTGATGATACAGAGCAAAAGCAGATTTCTAGTCCAAAGGTAAAGGCCTGGATTGATATGGACAAAGATGCCGTGTTTGATGCTGAAGATGTCTTGGATGAGATTGACCATGAAGTGTTCTAGCGCCTGGTGGAAGCTGAAATTGAGAGTAAAACCAGTGCTATCGGCAAGGTACGAAACTTCTTTAGTGCTCCTCTTAGTTCATTTGAGAATGAAATTGAATCCAAGATGAAAACCGTTCTTGAAAGTCTAGAATATCTTGCATCTCAAAAGGATATATTAAAATTGAATGAAAGGGGTAGTGGTGCAAAATTGAGAAGTGTATTTACCAGATAGATTGCCAACTACATCATTAGTGGATGAAGCTAGAACAATGACAAAGAAAAGATTATTGAATGGTTAACCGTCAACTTCTGTCATTTCCATAGTGGGTATAGGAGGGTTAGGTAAAACTACTCTTGCTCAACTTGTTTATAATGATAAGAGGGTGACGGGTGAATTTGACCTTGAATCTTGAGTGTGTGTTTCTGATGAGTTTAATGTTCTGAAGGTAACAATAACAATTTACGAGGTAATCAGTACGTCTAAAGATGATGCCAACGATTTCATATGCTTCAAATTAAACTGAAAGAGCATCTGACTCAGAAAAGATTTCTCTTTGTTTTAGACGACGTGTGGAATGAAAATTATATGCTATGGGAGGCCTTGCAATCACCTTTCAATCATGGGGCTCCAGGAAGTAAAATTCTTTTAACCACCCGTAGCAGACAGGTTGTTTCAACCATGCGTTCTGCTAAAACACTTACATTGAAGCCCTTACCAAGAGGAGATAGCTGGTCGTTATTCAGTAGGTATGCATTCCATGATATAGATGTTCTTCGTTCAAACTCTAAACTTGAAGAAATTGGTAGAAAAATCTACAAAAAGTGCAAAGGGTTGCCTTTAGCATTGAAAGCCATTGGGAGCCTTCTGTACTCAGAATTATCCCATGAGCAATGGAATGGCATTCTTAAAAGTGATATATGGGAGGAGAAAAGTGATAGTGAAATTTTCCCTGCTTTGAGATAGAGTTATCGTTACCTCCCCTCTCATCTCAAGAGTTGTTTTGCTTACTGCTCAATATTTCCTAAAGATTATGATTTTGATGAGGAACATTTAATTCAATTGTGGATGGCAGAACATTTTATACCATCTGCTTATCAAAACAAAGATGCAAGAGAAGTAGGAGAACAATTGTTTCAAGATCTATTGTTGAGGTCACTTTTTGAACGGTCAGTGAGAGATGAAACACATTTTGTCATGCATGATCTTATCAATGATTTAGCAAAAAGTTGAATATGGAAAATTTTGCCATAGGTTCGAGGTAGATGAAGCAAATAATTTGACAAAAATGACCCACCATGTTTCATATTTAAGAACTTACTATGAATCTTCCAAGCGTTTTGAAGTTATATACCAAGCTAATAGATTGCACCCTCTCTTGCCTTTATCTATGCAAGGTCATAGAAGTACAAGCTATACAAATTTTCTTTATTGGATGTCTAGCAAGATTATTCTTGATCTACCATCCAAGTTCAGTTGCATGTGGGTTTTTTCTTTGTCTGATTATTATAGCATTAAGAGTTCGCCTGATTCAATTGGAAATCTCAAGCATCTCCGTTATTTAGACCTATCAGGAACTAAAGGAAATTGCCTGATTCAATATGTCAACTTTATCATTTGCAAACATTAAAGTTGTGGCGTTGTTGTGATTTGGAAAAGTTGCCCACGGATTTGCATAGGCTTATTAATCTACGACATCTTGATTTTTGTGAAACTCAAGTGAGAGAGATGCAGAAGCAATTAGGTAAACTGAAAAATCTTCAGGTGCTAACATCATTTTATGTGGACAAATGTGGAGAGAGCAACATCAAACAATTGGAAAAGTATGATCTTTGTGGATAGATTTCTATCTGAGAGTTGCAGAATGTGGTTTCTCCCATAGATGCTTTAGGAGTCAATTTGAAAAGCAAGGTACATCTTAAGGAATTGACGTTAGAATGGAGTATGGACAATCAAAAGTCACATAAGGACAAGGATGTGCTGGAGATGCTCCAACCTCATCAGAACTTAAGAAAGCTATCAATTAGCAACTTTGGTGGTATCGGGTTTCCAAATTGGTTTACAGATCTTTCATTGTCCGACATAGCATCCTTAGAGTTGAGGAATTGCAAATATTGTATGTCCTTGACATCACTAGGCCTCCTTCCATCTCTCAAATCATTGTCAATTGTAGGGTTTCTAGTATAGTAACAATTGGTCCAGAATTTTATGGAACTAATTCTAATACTACATCCCTAGAAATCTTAAGATTTGGAGATATGAAAGGTTGGGAGGAATGGAAATGTGAAAATATCTCAAGTTATTTCCCACATCTTCAAGAGTTGAGTATAGACAACTGTCCCAACCTAAAAGGGCACGTTCCTCAACAGCTTCCTTCTTTGAGGATTCTGGTTATTTACAATTGTGAGAAACTCGTGGCTTCAATGCCATGGGCTCCATTTCTTCATAAACAAGTTCAAAGACATTGTGGAGAGGAGAAATTGTAATGTCTTCCGTCATATTAATGATGGTCGATTTGTGCCCGTGCATCGCACAGGGTCGGTTACTATTTAATTATAAAAGCAAAATAAGTATGAGCCAATGAAATGAAATAAACTGTATTTTAGTTCCTTGCAATTTGAATCCCAAAGAAAATGTTGTAATGGCATTTGCGAACAGAGACTTATTCACCTTTTCTTTCATTTGGCAGGCTCTCATTCCGTTACTCAACATAAGTGACTTTTCTGATACACCCCTCATATTGTTCAAATGGAAAGGAAGGTAGGTCTACTCTTTTTCCCTTATTTATAGTTTCCAAACAACAAAAAGGTTTCAGTGAATCCTTTAATTTCCTACTCTCCTCCTTCATTATCATTATAGTACTATAAAAGGGTTATGGCAACCTTAATTTTTGATGCAATTTTCCCCCTCAGTAATTTGCATTCGTCTTCTAAATCCTCAAACTGAAACTACAGGGGTTTAATTCCTTGCATTTTGAAATTCCAGAGAAACAGTTTACTTTTATCGTATTAGCATTGTACAGAGACTTACTCATCTCCTTTTCCTTTAGCAGGCTCTTTATTGTCCACTGAACATAAGAGTCTCCGCTGATGTAAACCTCATTTTGGAAACATTGAGATACAACACTGTTTGTCTTTTGTCATTGTCCATTGAATTCATGGGACTTCAATGCTGTCCAAGGAAGGTTTACTCTTTTCTCTTCCATACTTTACAAAATGGGCAATAGTTCTTGTCTAGAGGGAAATAATGTTTATATTATAGGTTCCCTTTTCCTTGTTTGGGGAAAATTTCCATCTTAAAACTTAAGGTTTACTCTTTTCTTATTCATAACTCCAATTTCCAAAGAAGAGAATGGTCTTGATGAAGCCTTCCTTTTCCTTCTCTTCTCCTCCATTATTCCCTTTCCAAACATACCCTGTAAGAGATTCACCATTTGTCTGACACAATATTAAATACTTACTCTTATTTTACTTCTTGTTTTATATATAATTGAAATCGGGGGAAGTATGCTGGTGCACCTCAATAGACTTACACGTGAAAGGAATAAGAGGAAATCACTCAACTTAGAGGTGATTTCTATCTCCTGATCTGAACATCCATGTTTGCATATGCCTTCATACATTAATTCATGATAGTTTTGGTCCAAATTACAATAAAAATAAAAATGCGAGTTGTGAAACCCGTGATTAAAATTTTGTTGAACCAAGCTTGGAAATTAAACCAAATTGCATTCTAGTTCCCCTATTTCGCTTAAATGGTTTAATATTTATTGACGGTTTTGATGATGCCACCTAGTTTGTTTATTTTATTAGAATTGTGTTTTCCAAGGCTTGCTTGCCCTCTGTTATGCTGAATTAAAAGAAAGTATAGGAGCCAGATGCAAAAGGACAACGTCGTTTTTTTCAGTTGTCTTCTATTCTCAGATTTTTTTTTTTTTTGGCATTAGGCAAATATTGCTACATTAAAACAGCCAGAGAAGGGGCAAAATAGAGTCGAGTCAGACCTAATGTACTCAAGAGGAAACGAAAGTTCTGCTTCAAGTGAGAAAGATGCAAATGGTAGAAGGCAATGTCAAGCACCATTAATGCTCTGAAATTATGGAGCTTTCCAACTGCTCAAAATTCATTAACAAATACAACTCCCACGAAGCATTGATTACCAAGAAGACTATGTGCTTTTAAAGCTGCTCTGATATATCTTCACATTCTCTGCGTTTCTATTAGCGTTGTATCATAGACTCCTTTGGAAGTTGAATCTTTGAAGAGATGTTGTGAGCATCATTTCCATAGGTTTGCCTTTACATAACGCTGTAAAGGCCTTGGTGCATGGTTTGCAAAAGTTTTGATAAGCTTTACGAGAGTTAGGGGAAATAGAGACTCGATTGCCTTCTTGATTGTACTGTGATCATTTACTATGCATAAAATAAAAATGCTCCCATTTTGCATGAGTAGAGATCGTGATACTTGAAATTTGAATCTTCATACCTCATGGTATAACTCTGATATTTCTAAAATGTTATTTATTGATTGAACCTTTACTAAAGGAACTTTATCTCAAATAAGATTCATACCATTCTTTTTTTTAATTTATTTAAAAGGAAATAATTCAGATACATTAAAACGAAAACAATAAAACGAAATAATAAAATGAGCTCATTTTATAAGATTTTATGCCATTCAATTTGGCAAATGAACAAAATGAACTGAACAAAATGATATTGGCCTACTTAATTATTTTGTGTTTTGTAGAAGATCTAGTCAAAGTGAAAACACTTATGAAATAACAACCTTGTGGTATTCATTAGATTATTTTTTTTAATTAGGTGCCCAAAATATCCTCACATCCTGCAATTATAAGACTAATCTCCTAATGAATTTGAACATCATTTAAAAAGTTGTCATCTCCCAAGTAATATTTTTCCATACACACTTTCAAAAATTAAACCTTAAAATAATGTTTAAGGGTCCTATACTATTGTATGTGTCACATCCATTTGGTGTATTCGTTAGATCTTACTTAGGTTAAGAAGCGAGGACATAATTTTTTTCAATGTTTAAAAACGAGACTGGGCCAACCGGCTCAACAGGCCATTAGTCCTGTCCAGTACACACCTAAACCAGTCCTCCTATCCAGTCAAAGACCAGACAAGCCAGTCAAAAACCGATAAACTCTAAAAAGCCCAGAAGTTTACTATTTAATAATTTCTATAAGTTTTGGGCCTTTCATAGGAATTATGTCCAGGCCATCTTTTGGGTGCTTCAAGACAATTAATACCCAACTCTTCCTAACCACGTTGCGGCCCGTTTGATTTTCACTTCCACCGTTTCAAAAGTCGTTTTAAAATGTAATTTAAATTCTAATGTTGTTTGGTCATAGACTTTTTTTTTCCAAAAAAATCTATTTTAAGTGTACTTTTCACACCACTATTAAATGTGCTTTCCTAAAAATAAAAAATAATAGCTTTTTAAAAGTGTTTTCCAAAATATTTTAAAATTTTGTTCATAATACCCTTAATTTATTTTTACAGTTAGCGGTTTCAGACTTCAAAATTTGAAGAGAAGTTTCCTTTTTTTTTTTTTTTCAAATTTCTTCTATTGTTTCCTTCTAGTTTCACATAATACCATTAAAAAAAGTTTCTTTTAAAATTTTTAATTTTAATGAACATTAAATATTCATACATTTTTTTAATATATCAAACTTCATATTAATTTCTATTTTTTATTATTTAACATATTAAATTTTCTATTATTCAGAATTTTTATCACAATTTTTCAAAATTTTTAATATATTACATTTATATAATAAAAATTATAAATTATCATAAATCTATATCTTAATAATTATATATTCAAAAATACATTTCACTATACATAATTCAAACAAATTTTAATTTATGAAATTCACTTTAAAAAAATATATTGAAACATTAATTTTATTGCAAATACTAACTTTTATCAACTGTATTTTTAACAAACTGATTTTTTTTCTGACGTAAAACCAAATCTCCGGTGTTTCTATAATGAAATGTCCCCTCTCTCCACGCATTAGTTCTCGTTGTGGGACTTTGTTTCTCCTGTTGCTCATCAGTCACGACTTTTTTTTTCTTGTCTTTTTTTTCGGTTAAACTTTGCTCTTTTTTCAGTTAATTCTTTAAGTTTTTTCCCCTCCATATGGATGGATTATTTATCAAATATTTTTACTTTCATGAAAATCTTTTTAATGTTGCTTTAACATGCCTTTAGTAACCAACTTTTTTTTTTTTAATTTAAACAGGTTTCCAAATGCCTAAGGTGATTCATTTTTGTTGCATCTAAAACATTTGCATATATCTACACCACTATCGATTCATACTTGTGAAAAGATTGATAAGAAGTGTTAGATATTTATATGGGGGGGCTCTAACTCACAGAGAAAGTTACATCTTATGACTTCAGAGTATGTGTGCATAAGAAAAGATGAAGGGGTTTGGGTTTGAGACATGCTTATAGACAGAATAAAGCTTTCATGATGAAGTTTGGGATGAAATTTGGTTCATCATAGAGATGCTCTGTGAGTGCAATTTATGAGAGAGAAATACAAGTGTGAATGTGTGATGAAGCCGTTTTCCTAAAGGTTGAAGCTCGTAGAAATGTGTTAAGTGTTTGGAAAGGCATTGTTGATGCTTGGACTGACACTATTAAAGGTATTGCTTGTTAGGCTAGTAAGGGAAATAAAATAAAATTCTGGAAAGATAGCTGGTTGCCACATCATGATTCTCTCCTAAATTATGCTATCAATCAAGTCCAGGAAGAGATTTATGATGACTTGGTTGAGAAATATTTATCTTCAACTGGTATTTGGCTCAGGGATAAGTTTGAGAAGTATCTATCTAATATGATTTTAAGAGAAATTTATCGCATCGGGGGTAATAAAAGAGATGATAGGCTGTGATGGAGGTGGTCTAGTAATAGTGAATTCACTATGAAGACAGCTTATCAAAGTCTTTGCCCAGATACTAGTAGTATGCGAAGGAGTATTTGGAGGAGAGTGTGGAAAGCATCAATTCCCCAATGTAACAAAACCTTCCTTTGGTTGTGTGCTAAGGTAGACTTATGACCTCATAATTTTTTAATAGAGGTATATCTATTGATGATAAGTGTCTTTGTGCTCTCACTATACAGAGGATGTCATGCATGTCCTTTGAGATTGTAGTTTTGTAGCAAATTGTTGGATTAGACTGGTTTTGGTGGAGATGAAAGCAATGTTGGATATATTATGGAATGGATTGACTGGAATCTAACTCAAGGGTTCATGTTAAAGGACTATTGATAGGATATTTGGTTTGCGATTCTTTGCCAACAGTTATGGATCAGTAGGAACTTAAGAGTCTTTTAATGAAAGAAGTGTGGGGTCTTGGAGGTTTTGGCTCAAGTGCAAGCATTGGTGTCTTGGTCAAATTCTGAACTCCTATCTACTAAGATGGAAAGAGATAGAGTACGATGGAGAGCATCGGAAATGGAAGTTATTAAACTCAATATAGATGGTGCAAATGGACTGGATGGTGCTATCACTAGATGTGGGGGTGTTACTAGAGACCACACTGGGCATTTCTTGAATGGGTTTATTTATCATATTGGCCATGATATCAATCTAAATGCTGAGTTATAGGGAGTCATATGAGCACTTAAGAGAGCTTGGGACATGGGTTGGAGAAGGATAGTGATAGAGATGGATTGCATAGAGGTTATCAAGACACTGCATAATGATGAACAATCGGAACATCTTGATCATGACCTCATTTTAGAGATCTAGAGCATGAGACAACAAGACTGGTGTAACGGCCCTCTACTCACCCCGCTTACCCGAGGTCTTTTGCGGCGCTGGACACTCTCCCCCCAGGCCCCACAACAGGGCGACCCCACCCCTTACGGTGAGCATCAGGAGACAAAGGCTTCCCCGCAGTAGTGTGCGGATTATTCCCCTTGCGGAGAGCCTCCCCAGGTTCGATCCTCCAACCTCTCCTACATAACAAAGTTGAGGCTGAACCTGGTACCATTGAACCACGTGGTTCAATGGTACCAGGTTCAGCCTCAACTTTGTTATGTAGGAGAGGTTGGAGGATCGAACCTGGGGAGGCTCTCCGCAAGGGAAATAATCCGCACACTACTGCGGGGAAGCCTTTGTCTCCTGATGCTCACCGTAAGGGGTGGGGTCGCCCTGTTGTGGGGCCTGGGGGGAGAGTGTCCAGCGCCGCAAAAGACCTCGGGTAGGCGGGGACCAGGTTCAACTTCAACTTTGTTATGTAGGAGAGGTTGGAGGATCGAACCTGGGGAGGCTCTCCGCAAGGGGAATAATCCGCACACTACTGCGAGGAAGCCTTTGTCTCTTGATGCTCACCGTAAGGGGTGGGATCGCCCTGTTGTGGGGCCTGGGGGGAGAGTGTCCAGCGCCGCAAAGGACCTCGGGTAGGCGGGGTGAGCGGAGGGCTGTTACAACTGGGCTATTGATTTGACTAAGTACAGCTGGCAAGCCAACTATATTGCAAATTTGTTAGCGAAGGAGGCTTTGAAACAAATGGGAGATGTGATTTTCCTTACATCTCCTCCTGATTTTATCTCTGATAATTTAATGTCTGATGTTAGAGTTTAGTTTAAAAAACACTTGCATACATGCTAGGATGAAGAACTATTATATTCTTGAGTGTTTTATTAATGTATATCATGATATTTCATAAAAAAACAAAAATATTTCATAAAATATCATTTAGTAAAATTTAATGTACAAAATTACTCTATATATATATATATATATGTATCATATCCGGTTCAACCATAATTTAATCATAGTTTGGCCATTAATCTTTAAACTAATATTTCATCTGTTTCAATAATTGGTCTGGTTTTTAAAATTTTAATTTTTTTAAATAACTCCAAAAATCTTGCAAGATAGGGGGAATGAAAACATGAAATTTTCTTAAAATCAATTTTACAATTTGTATTAATATTTTCTTAATATTTATAGAAATATATAATACATCCATTTTGTGAACTTGTGTACTTTTCTCAACATAATTAAATTATACAGTGGATGTAGGACAAACTTAGCATGTAAGTATTGTGATATTTTCATCAAATTATAAGAACTACATTTTGTCAATATGTAATAACTATATAAATTTTATAAGTGAAATATATTTTTGAGTAAATTATTTACTTGTCATATTTTTAATCAAATACACTTAATTAAAATATAATAAACAGAAAAATTAAATAAACTTAACAAATAGCAAAGCATAGAACACAATCAAAGAAAATTTACCAAAGATCCATAAGGAAAAAGGGGAACTACAAACAAAAGCAGAGGAATTATGAAACTAGTGAGATGCAAATTCCTTTCTTGAATTTTTTTTATTGTTGATTTATTGACCCGTTTGGGTAAACCTCAAAAGTACATTTAAATTACATTTGAGATACTCCCCCCATTTAAAAATATAAGATATTTTTAATTGAATCTCACTCTCAATAAAATAGTTACCTACTTTTTAACTAATCCTATTTTTTATATTTACCTCTATTAAACACCCTACAATAAATATAAAGTCATTATTAATAGGGGCATTTTTTTTTAAAAAAGACAATGATTATATTTTAAAAAATTAAAAATATCTTACATTTTTGAACAGTTAACACATCAAAAAGTGCTTTATATTTTTGAACGAGGGAGTATACTTTTGTCAAATTCAACAAATAATTGAATATCCCAAATGATTTTTTTCTAAATGTAAACTGAAGATTAAACACACACTAAAAACTTTTTTTATATTATGAATAAATTTTATGACAATAACTTAATAACAACTTGTATTCCCTCCGTTCAAAAATATAAGCCATTTTTTGAGGAGTTGGGTATTCAAAAATGTAAGACATTTTTAGCTTTTTAATGTGTAATCATTGCTCTTTTTTTAAAAGTATCCCTAATGATAGTGACTTTATATTTATTATAGGGTGTTTAATAAAGGTATATATGAAAAGATAGGATTAGTTTGAAAGTGGATAAATACTTTATTGGGAGATGAGATTCGGTTAAAAATATACCTTATATTTTTTAAGAGAGGAAGTATTATTCTTTTTAAATCTCCAGCTGGCTACCACAATATTATAATTCTGCACATAATTTTCAATGTGAAATCATCAAACGCCAAAGTCCAAAGCATTGAACTAAATGTTGGCCAAGGAAGGAAAAAAAAAAAAAAAGGAACTAAATAGCTATTAGTTTCCTATGGGAATATTCCAATATAATCAAATCTGACGTCCTCAAACAATTTTAATGAATTAAACATGCAATTATCTATGTGATGTCATCAAGCTCCAAATTGATCCAAATCATTTGACCAAACAGCAGCTATTAGTTTCCCCTCTAATTAAGAAGTGTCCAGTGAGAAGACAGTTGTTTTCTGATAAATTAAAAGGGATAAACTATTGCAATATATTTTTGAACGAAGAGTACAATAATATATATTTTATTAAATTATATATTTTCATATTACTAAAAAATGATATTTATTTATATAAAAATAAATGATAACAATGTAAAAATTAAATTAATTCACAAAGCCAAATCAAAGAACGTAATAATAAAAATAAAAAAAGGGGTTGATAAGGGATTTGAATTCCCTGCCTATCGTTGGTACTTGCACTTCCTATCGTGACATGTGAAGAAAAGAGCCGTGAGACGTCATCAACGACTCTTAATTCATTAAAAGTATGACCAATTAATGAAACGGTGAGCATTTGGAGCACCAGATGACGAATTCACATCTAATCAATGAATACCTGCTTTAACCACTTGAAGCATGGGATGATTGCGAATTGTGTTTATGGAAGCACATATACAACAAAGAAATACGTAAGTGGTTTGGTCAATTCACTCTCACAAACTCCTCTTGAGCAATTGGACCATTATCTGCCAACTTAGACGCCAAATGTGCTACAACTTGAACTCTTATCGGAGAATTTATGAGAACCTAGACAATGATCAGGACCCCAATCGAGCGATGATACAATGAACACGTGTACTTGAACTAGATCGAGCTTTGAACTCTTGATCTTGCTTTTTTGATATTCACCTCCTGGTTTAGATTTGACTCCAAAATCTGAAACTCATTTTCCCGTTGAACTGCTTCTCGCTCTATCATCTTTGGCACTAAACTAAGTTACGCTTGCCTTCATTGGATTCAGAACGTTTCTTACCATTGGCTAATCTCACCACTTAATGAGGAAGGCAAAACATAGAGAGGAGATATTTTATGCATTATAACTATGGTTGAGCAAAATTTTTTAAAGCTGTTGATTACATCTCACAATTTTCTTCTCACCACGTCAAGACAGACACTTGGTGTGAGTACTAGGGATAGGCATGGAATCCAAATAAATTATTTATCACAATTACAAAGCATGTAATTAATTTTTTATCATAATTTTTTACCTCATTAAAGTTAATAAAAAATATTATTAAAGTATGTATATTTTTTTTTGGTCAGTAAAGTATGCATATTTAACAAGAATAAAGTTATAAATTTATTAAATTTTTAAAAAGAGTTAATATTTTTTTAAGATTTACATAAAATATGTTGAAAGTAATTATAAATAGAATTGATTGCAAGGAGTATATAATATTATATATAGATATATACTTTTTTCATTAAATCATAGAGATTTCTATTATTAAAAATGATATTCATTTTCAAGAAAAACAAAAATGTAAAAAATTAAATTCACTTTACAAAGCCACATCAAAGAACACGTTGAAAAATTTAAAAACAAGGTTAAAAGGACACGGCCAAAAAAATAGGAACCAAAAAACTTTGTTATTAGAAGTCTTCGTGTGAAAGTTGAAGTTGGCATGATCACAATCTTCAAGCCTTACAACTAATCCTAATACATCACATCATTTCGATCTCCTTTTGCAGAATCATTTCCTTCGGTTGACCTCCATATCTGCAGACCCGACAACAACTTCATCCATGGCCGGAGCTTTGGTTGGTGGTGCTTTTCTCTCTGCTTTTCTTCAAGTGGTTTTTGACAGGCTGGCGTCTCCTGATGTTCAGGGTTTCTTCAAGAAACGAAAATTGAACGAGACACTGCTCAAGAAGTTCGAGAGTGAGCTGTTAGCCATCGAAGCTGTTGTTGATGATGCAGAGCAAAAGCAGATATTTAATCCCAAGGTGAAGGAGTGGCTTGATATGGTCAAAGATGCCGTGTTTGATGCTGAGGATGTCATAGATGAGATTGATTACGAAGTGTCCAAGCGCAAGGTGGAAGCTGAACTTCAGACCCAAACCAGTCTCACTGGCAAGGTACGAAACTTCTTCAGTTCTTCTGATAGTTCATTTGATAAGGAAGTTGAATCCAGGATGCAAAACGTTCTTGAACTTCTAGAACATCTTGCATCTCAAAAGCATTTGTTAAAATTGATTCAACGTGGTAGCGGTGCTGGATTGAGGAGTTCAATAACAAATAGGTTGCCTACAACATCATTGGTGGATGAAGCTGCCATGATCGGTAGAGGTGATGACAAAAAAACGATTATTGAATGGTTACTATCAGATATGGATAACAGTCGATTATCTGTCATTTCTATTGTGGGTATGGGAGGGCTGGGTAAATCTACTCTTGCCCAGCTTGTTTACAATGATAGGAAGGTGATGGATGAATTTGAGGTCAAAGTTTGGGTATGTGTTTCTGAAGAGTTTGATGTGTTCAGGGTAACAAGAACAATTTACGAGGCAATCACTATGTCTAAGGACAATACTACCGATCTAAATATGCTTCAAATCAAATTGATGAAATTGTTAACTCAGAAGAAATTTCTTCTTGTTTTAGACGATGTGTGTAATGAAGATAATGAGCTGTGGGAGGCATTGCAATTACCTTTGAATCATGAGGCTTTGGGTAGCAAAATTCTTCAGACTACCCGCAGTGAAAAAGTTGTTTCAATTATGAATTCAACTAAAGCACTTCCGTTAAAGCTCTTGCCAGAAAAAGATAGTTGGCTGCTATTCAGCAAATATGCATTACGCGATAGAGATATTCTTCACCCAAACTCTGACCTTGAAAAAATTGGTAGAAAAATCTGTAAAAAGTGCAAAGGATTGCCTTTAGCTTTGAAAGCCATTGGAAGCCTTTTGTACACGGAAGTATCTCATGAGCAATGGAATGACATTTTGAAAAGTGAGATATGGGAAGAAAAGAGTGATAACAAAATTCTGCCAAGTTTGAGATTGAGTTATCGTTACCTTCCTTCTTATCTCAAGAGATGTTTTTCTTATTGCTCGATATTTCCCAAAGATTATGATTTTGACAAGGACCATCTAATTCAGCTGTGGATGGCAGAAAATTTTTTACCATGTGCTCATCAAAGCAAAGATGCACGGGTAATTGGAGAACAATGCTTCCATGATCTACTATCAAGATCTTTTTTTCAACGATCAGCAGGAGATGAAGCGCATTTTGTTATGCATGACCTTGTCAATGATTTGGCAAAAGATGAATATGGCAAATTTTGCCATAGGTTGGAGTTAGACGAAGCAAGTAATCTATCAAAATTTACTCGCCATGTTTCATATTTGAGAGATATCTATGAAACTCCAAAACGATTTGAGGCTTTATACCAAGCCAATAGATTACGCACGTTCTTGCCTCTCACCATGCTAGATTTTAACTGGGCACGCTGGATGTCTACAAAGGTTATACATGATTTGTTGTCGAACTTTCCGTGCATGCGAGTTTTATCTCTCTCAGATTATTCTAGCAACATTGTCGAGTTGCCTGATTCGATAGGAAATATGAAGCATTTACGCTATTTGGACCTATCAGAAACTAAACTAAGGATATTGCCTAATTCAGTATGTCAACTTTATCATTTGCAGACATTGAAGTTGTGGCGTTGTTGGGATTTGAAAAAGTTGCCAATGGATTTACACAAACTCATTAGTCTGCGTCATCTTGATTTTCGAGAAACTGCTGTGCGTGAGATGCCAAAGCAATTAGGCAAATTAAAAAATCTTCAAGTGCTGTCATCATTTATTGTGGGAAAATATGAAGAGACCAACATCAAGCAGTTAAAAGAACTTGATCTTTGTGGATCGATTTCCATATCAGAGTTGCAAAATATAGTTTCTCCCGTAGATGCTTTAGCAGTCAATTTGAAAACTAAGATATACCTTGAGGAGTTAAGATTAGAATGGAGCATGGACAATGAAAAATCACAAAATGATAAGGATGTTTTGGAGAAGCTCCAACCTTATCAAAACTTGAAAAGGCTCTCAATTAGCAGCTATGGTGGTGATGGGTTTCCGGACTGGTTTGTAGATCTTTCACTGTCTAAAATAGTGTCCCTGGAGCTGAGGAATTGCAAATACTGTTCCTCCTTGCCATCACTAGGCCTTTTTCCATATCTCAAGTCACTATCAATTGTAGGGTTTGATAGTATAGTAGCTATTGGTCCAGAATTTCATGGGAATAGCTCTTATACAACTTCCCTGGAAATCTTGAGGTTTGGAGATATGGAGGCCTGGGAGGAATGGAAGTATGAAAATATGTCGCTTAGTTTCCCTCATATTCAAGAGTTAAGTCTAGAAAATTGTCCCAAATTGAAAGGGCACCTTCCTCCACAACTTCCTTCTCTAAGGACGCTAGTTATTGTCAATTGTGAGAAACTTGTAGATTCAATTCTGTTGGCTTCATCTCTTCATAAATTGGTCCTGAGACATTACGGAAAGGAGGAGATGGAATGTGTTCCATCAACTCTGAAAGTTCTTGAGCTTTCTGGATGTTTTGCAGAAATCTTATCAATTGAAAAAATTGAGAATGCAATTGCCAATTCCTGCCTTGAGGAGTTGAATTTTGGGGATTGTCCTCGCCTGAAATTCCCATTGCGCTACTGTCATAACTTCGTTGTTGAAATGGAGATAAGAGGAAGATGCGACTGTCTTGTGTCTTTTCCACTGGATTTTTTTCCCAATCTTCAGATATTGCGGCTGAGGGATTGTAATAATCTTGAAATGATATCTATTTCAGAACGATACCATCACTCGCTTGCAAGATTAGACATAGAGAAGTGTCCAAAATTTGTATCATTTCCCAAAGGAGGGTTTTTGGCCCCCAAATTAATTGTCTGTCTCTTCGAAGAATTGGAGAATTTGAAATCACTGCCTGAGTGGATGCACACTCTCTTCTGCTCACTCAAACATCTAGTACTAAGACGCTGCCCACGAGTGGAATCATTACCTGAGGGAGGTTTGCCATCGAATCTTGAGCAACTTAGTATCCGCGGATGCCCGAAACTCATAGGCACTTGAATGGGATGGGATTTGAGTAGTCTTGCTTCTCTAGATCACTTGGCAATTGGAGATACAAACGACGAGTCTCTTCCTGATGTAGGACTACTACCCCCTTCTCTTAATTCCCTTTGGTTCTCAAATTGCCCAAATCTCAGAACGTTGGAACACAAAGGTCTTTGCCACTTGTCCTCTCTCAAACACTTGCATTTTATTGACTGTCCTAAACTCCAATACTTGCCGAAGGAAGGTCTGCCCAGTTCCCTTATTTGACTAGATATTTATGGCTGTCCCTTGCTCGAAAAGAAGATCCAAAAACAAAAAAGCAAATATTGGGCAATGATTTCTCACATCCCTTTACTTGAGATTGACCATCATGTAGTAAATTGAAGTGACCTTCTCATTGACAAGCACATCAATTTCATCCTTTCCAGTTTCTCATCAGGTATCTACCCCTTTTTGCTTTTCTAGAATTTCAAATCGTAGAAATTTTTGCTCTTTTTTCCCATGGATTTACTTTCTTATTCGAAATTTTCATTTCATTTTTGCACGTATCAATAATGGCAGAAGCTGCACAAAATGAATATCCTTCAGTAACTCAAACACCTCCTTTTTCATCTGTCACACACTTAAGAGTTCTAACTAGGCATCAGTTAGTCTCATGCCATGCACTTGAGAGGAACTTCCTTTTAAAACTTCATGAAAAAGAAATAATATCAGTTAACCACAATGCATATTATCTTGCTCGGTCAAAATATGACATTTTTCTAATTTTACTTAAAGCAAATGAAAATACAATTCTTATTCTAGCTTCAATATTAATATTTGTGAAATTCATTTTGTCATTAGATATTATGAATTTTCATTAACCAAACTCACTTTAACTTAACTATTTGATAAAAAGAGTTATTATGATGCGGTTAAACATTTTATATTTGTTGGCGGCACCGGCAAAAACGCGAATGACGAGGTACGAATTGCTCGAGTCGTACTCGGAAGGACACTATCCTTAAGAACTATTCTGACACACCCTCAGACGACTGGCAGTGTCCTAGGATTAAACAAGCACCTCCTCAGTGGAACGAGGGAACAGAACAACGAAGATTAAATGTAAGCACAGACGAACTGACAAAGGGAGGAGAGAACCCCGAAAACTCAAGAGGCTTGCACCGCTTTGTCTGCACACATGGCTATATATAGCCCGAAGGTGGACATGAACTTTAGGGGGTTACTACTAGATTAAAGGCTCGGTTACACTGTCATAAAAATCATTTAAAAGCTTGTCTGGAAACGTTGGGGTTACACAAACGTAAAATGCATTTAACTTCCTGTCTGGAAATGTTGGGAAGACAAAACGTTTAAAAAATTAATTTGGTTGATGATCAAAAAACGTTCTTGGTTTGATTTTAAATTTCGGACAGCCAAAAATTGAGTTTCTCCGGCAAGGCAAAAATAATTATTTATTTTGTAAAAATAATCCGGTAAAAGGAACCCATTATCTCTTGAACTCGCGTGGGGGAGAATCGGCTGATTTCAACTGCGATTGCCCTGAGTTGGCTTGTCTCATGTGCGCGAGGCCACTTCTCCTCCAAGCTCATTTTACTAGCCCACTTCATTCCTTAGTATATATACATTAGGAGAGTCTTTCTTTTAGTCAATGTGGGACTTTGACACACACACACTTTTGACACACATACAACAATCCCCCACATGTGTCAAAAGGATCTATGTTCGTTTGAGTTATTCACACGGAGGATAATCACTTTGAATTTGGTGTCTGTCGACTTAAATCAAACCTAGACTAATAAAACTTAGCACACAAGAAAGTCGGTTGAACTAATAGATCTTGAGCATGTGCTAGAGGTCTTATTAATCGGATTATACCCCCACAGTCTTTGCTGTTAATGATGATTTTGCACGTTATCGGCCATGCGCACGCCTGGTTTTAACAAATGCTCTATAAATTTTGCCACGATCTCATAGGAGCGGCCCCACTCTACATTTGTATAGGTATTTTTATCAAATGTATCTGCAATGAATACACCATCCGTAAGGACTATGAAAACATTAAGAGCTTTCACTCAGCCTCCGTTCAATGCATTCTAGCACTTTCTCAAGCTATAAGAAGGGACAAAATTCAATGCTAGCAGAACTAACAAATGACTTGTTCTTACCCATTGAACCTTCTTCATGGAATCTCCAATCATAAAGGTTGGGTTGCCATTACCGTTAATTTCAAACAAGCTTAAGTCCCATTCCCCTCGACGTTTCAATAATAAATTTCTTCCCTAGGGATTTAGTTAATAGATCTACCAGATTTAACTCTGATTTCACATAATCGATTGAGATGACCCCATTTTTGAGCAGCTGCCTTATAATATTATGTCTCAATCGAATATGTCTACTTTTGCCATTAAAGGTCTTATTTTTAGCCGTTGTTATTGTAGATTGGCTATCACAATGTAAAGACACTGATGGTGTGGGCTTTTCACCTATTGGAATACTTGCTAAGAAGTTTTTCAACCACTCAGCCTCAGTCCCAGCTAGCTCCATGGCAATGAACTCAGAATCTCTTGAGGATTTTGTATTAATTGTCTGTTTTGCAGACTTCCAGGTTATTGCACCACCACCAAGAGTGATACAATAAGATATAATATAACTTACTTTGTACTTTATGATACTACCACTACTTTCAGGCCACACCTATGTTAAGATCATACTTTTTAGTTCTTCATAGGTCATTCCTTGTCTTATCAATCTTTCACTTATAATCTCACCCTCATATCTTGTATTTTCTTCTAAATTCTTGACAATTTCACCCCTTGTATGGAAGATGCAAAATAGTTGCTTTACAGAACTCGAAGCCATAAGTAATCCCAACATGTATGTCATTAAAATATTAACTTTAATTACTTTATCAATAATGGATGAACTCATAAATTTACAATAAGAATTGTAAAATTAACAACATAACATAAAGCTTTTAACAACTCATCATACAATGATAAAAATTCTAATACCCAACAGCTTTGTATTTCTAAATTTTAATGTTGAGACTTTTTATCAACTAAAAGCACCAACTCTTTCATGCCAATTGATTGATTCATCCTATGCTCATTCCCCTTACTAAACCCATACTCATACCATATGCATTTAAGAGAAAGTGCCTTTGATTACTATAAATGATAATATTTTATCTCCATACGATTGATTGCTGCCAAGCTGTCCTCTAAAACCATCCCTAGTTGATGCCCATCTTGTTTTGTTTCCAATCATATTGCATGGAGAAGGAAGAATCACATTATGTAGAGAATGCATAATTAAACAAGAGGTGGGGAATGAATCTCATAGGCTTATGGGTGATAAACATTAGCAGCCGTTGCTCCTTAAAGTGAAGATTGAGAAATACAAAACTGCATGTTGAGATTTTCCATTTCATGGGCATTTCTTTCTTTTATCATTAGTAACCTATTCTTTAATATTAGCATTGAGGGCAATTTCATCTTTTTCTCATTCCACTTATTTTCAGTTTAGTCTTGCGAGATTGAATTGAAATTTTGCATTCTTTTGAAAGCCACAGAAGATACGTTCCTTCTCAAGCCTTTATATGAAACTCTCTCTAAAATTTAATATACTTTCAATCCTTATATATTTTTTTTTGTATTGGTTTATAGAAAAAAAAAATTATGAGACTTGGAGTCAAATCAAGTGTCTTCGTCGCGAAAGCTTTACGAACGGAACGAGCTTTATCATCCCTCTCACATCACACTACTTTACAGGATCGTCGGCTGACCTCCATTTCTGCAGACGCACAGCAACTTCGGCCATGGCGGGAGCCTTGGTTGGTGGTGCTTTTATCTCAGCTTTTCTTCAGGTAGCTTTTTACAGGTTGGCTTCTCTTAATACTCTGAATCTCTTCAAGAAACGAAAATTCAACGAGAAATTGACATGCAGCCATGAAAACATTAGAATGTGATGTTATTTTTCAACCTTCACTTTTTTTTATTTATAAATTTTGTCACCCTTGGTTCTAGAAAAGAGGCTTTTTGAGCCACCATGAGTTTGACTAATTTGTTCATAAATACATGTTTTATTTTTCTTAACAGATTTCTATACTCTATTGTGTTTCCCTATTTTAAAAAAAAATTATATTCTTTCTTTAAAATTGAGATACACTAATATATCTTTCTCTAGGAGTTGGTGATGGATTACAACTGCATTATTTTATAATAAAAAATTCACAATGTCTTTATACTTAAAAATTTATTTAATGCAATTAGTATTAAACTTGTATTTCATTGATGATATAAAATAAATAAAATTTTCAAAAAGCAGATTTTTAACAACTTTTATAATATAGATCAACATGTGTTTTAAGAAAAAAATATTTCACTTAAATTTTAGCTTAAAAAGTTCATATATATGTTTGCAACAAAAACGTATAATTCAAATGTATAGGGTGTAAAAGGAATCTCCATTAAGCATTAACAAAAACATTCTTAGGATGTTATCCTAATTGAATTTGATAACATATGACCTAATTAGACAGTCATATAAAAATTAGTAAAAAAGAAAAACAAAATAAAAAACACTTCATAATACCAACAGCGTTGGCGTAAGAGATCAGTCTCTCATAATATGACAAATTAAGTTTAAATCCCACTATTAGAGATGCTACATTTAATGCTTGACAATAAATTGTCTTGAATAGAAGGATAGCTATAGCCATTGGGGAAGCTACATTAGTATGAGGATAGGCTAGAGTTGAAAATTCGGGCAGGGCAAGTCTATTTGGCCCGACTCAAACAGGCCCTATTTCCTAAAAAGTTTAAATAGCCCAACTTGACCCAAATTCCTTCAAGTGGTTCGAATACTTGAATTTTATTTTTAATTAATTTTGTATTTTAAAATTAATTATTTTATTTTGTAAAAAATATAAAATATATTTTTTTAATATTTAAATGATATATAGGACTGAAATATATGATATTTTAATATAAAATAATCTAAAACTTAAATAATTAATTAATATTTATTATATTTTAAATTTTTTTAAAATTATAATTTTTTATTTAGGTATTCGAGCTAAATCCCAACCCAATTTGGGCTTGGCTCAAATTTTTTTCAAGCCTATTCAAGATAGCCGAATAGGTCCAAACATAAAAAAAATTATTTTTTCCTAAACCTAACTCTAAATTTTTTTGAGCGAACTGGGACTAACCTATAAAAATTATTGGCTCTAGGATGGACAAATGTCTCCCCTCATATATAAAACTCTATGAATATTTTAACCTGATTTACCCTATGACCCTCCTCATACTTTGGCATGCCCCAAGCACCCCACTAATACAGTTGGCAGATTAAAGTATGGAGAGAGGAGCAACGTGGGTGCATAAGTGACATGTTGAGATTGGGCTAGAAATTTAATTAGAACGTGGATTTCAATCAAGGAGAGCCCCAACAAGAAGATAAAAGTATACTCCCTTCATTTAAAAATAAAAAATATATTTTAAAAGATTGAATATTTAAATATATAAAACATTTTTAATCTTTCAAAGTGTAATTATTACTTTTTTTAAAAAATATCCCTATTAATAAATGACTTTATATTTATTATAGGGTGTTTAATAGAGGTAAATATGTAAAGATAGGGTTAGTTTGAAAGTAAATAACTATTTTATTGGAGAGTGAGATTTAGTTAAAAATATCTTATATTTTTTAATGAAGGGAATATATAACAGCAAAAATACTATTGTTTTATATTTTTATTTTATATATTAAAAAGATTTTGAGACATAGAAACTTGTGTTGTTATTGTGTGTAGATATGTTCTTTAAGATATGATTTTAAATTCTTGATGTGGGACGTTATATATTTCTAATTAATTAAACATGATTTAGGATCAATGGTTTTTAATTTTTTTATAATTTGAATTTGAATAGAAAAAAAAATAACTTGGTAGAAGAACATTAATATGAAGATCATGTACATACTTATTTTAAACTACAAGCAAATGCTTGAGATGTGCTCAACATTAAGTAAGTAATAACAAGTATTTGAGGCTTATAAATCAAATTTTTACAATAATAATTTATAAAATTTTTGATAAAAGTGAAAGTATATAATTTATTTAACTTCATACATGTATTTCTTTCACATAATTTAAATATTTTTTCAAATATATTAACTTTTATATAGTTTTAATATTAATATGTATCTACATATGATTGTATGCATAACCCTTCTTTAAAGAAATAAAAAAATAAAAACTCATCTCTATTGACTCTGGGTCCTAACTTAGCCATCGGCTATGGCACTTCATAATGTCAATGAAGAGAACAACAATAGTAATAAAAAAAGGGGTTAAAGTGTATTTTTACTTCTGAACTTTTTTTTTAGAAGCATTGGGAACCTTGTACTGATTAGTGGGACAATTTTATCCCTGAATTTTTTTAGGAGCAACAAAACCTCTTCTGTTAATTAGCCATTAATTTTTTTTTTGCTAATATAGCATGTGCATGGGGCTCACACATAGTGACAGATAAGACTTTGACCATATCATATAATACTAATTTGGCCCTGAACTCTTTTTCTAGGAGGGCTGGGCATTTTAAAATTTTTTTCTAAAAGTGCTGAGGACCCTGAAGTCTTGTTAAAATAAAATTTAATAAATATTATTAAGTATTAAATATTTTATTTAATAACTTAAATATTATTATTTATAAATATTCATTCAAAATTTATAAATTATTTTTTAAAATATTATACAAGTCAGTTTAATATTTTAATATTTTTGATATTTTGGTAATTTTGTGTTAAAAATGAAGAGAATGAATCTTCAAATTAACGGAAAGAATTTTTCTCATTATCTCTTCATTATTCTGTTATTAAGTAACATTTTCTGTAGCATATTAATGGGATAGGCAATATCTTTTAAATAATTATTTTTGTTGGCATATTGTTGATTTGCTTGTGTTTGATTTTACCCCTAACACTACAATGTATAGAGGAGAGTATTAAATTTTCATGGTGTAATATTTTGGAAGAAGATTGTTAATTAACTGAAAAAAATTATAGAGAAGGACAAAAGTTTAAGAAACTTAACTAATATTAAAAATATAAGTAAGTTTCCACCTATATGAAAGGCATAATGATATGGGTACTATTTCAGAGATTATTTATAAATTATTTAAAATAATTTATAAATTTTGGATAAATATTTATAAATAATAATATTTAAATTATTAAATATGAAAATATTTAATATTTTAACAATATTTATTAAATTTTATTTTAACAAGACTTTAGGAACAAATTACCACTAAAGGACATGTTAATGTCTTACCCATTACTTTACATAGGCCCACACATATGTGATATCAACAGAAAATAATAAAGTTATGACTGATTAATGGAAGAAGTCTTTTGCTCCTTAGAGTAATAGTTCAAGAAAAAAAGTGGTTCATTTATTAATATAAAGTGCCCAATATTCTTTTAAAAAATGTTCAAAACTACATCATGACTTGCACTACAACCAAAATTAAGGTACTTAACTAAAAATTAACATAAAAATTTAGAATTAGCATGTTTAATTAGTCTAAAAATTAAATATATAGCTTATTTAACAAAAATTCATGATCAAAATGTAACTACATTATAAATATTATAATAAAAATAAAAGGAAGCAAGGGGTGGCAACAAGAAAATTGATGGGTAAATTTGGAGGTGAAATTTTCTTTTCAAAATCTCCTCATATTTAGAAAAAAAGTTGAAGGTAAAAACATGTAGGTTTTATATGCTATTTTCCTCCTATTTTTTTCTCTCACTTTTCTCTCTTGCCAAGCATAGCATAAACAAATTATGAAATGAAATTGGATACTTAAAAAAGTAAAAAATTGAACTAGTCATCAAATCATAACGACTCTGGCAAAAAAAAAAAAAAATCAAATCATAACGACATAACCAATCAAGGCAGGTAGTGATTCAAGTTTCAAAGTCTCCCGGGATATTAAAAAAAAAAAAAAAAAAACGCACTCGGAAGTCTCCTGCAATGTGGGACAGTTTCGAGCGCGATGATGGCGAAGTGGAGGCGACCCGAAAGCATTTTCTACACGTTCCTGCTATACATCTCACTCCTTGTAATACGTTTCTCGCTAAGCATTTCACTCTCTTTCTTGTTCGTTTTACATCTTCATCTTCGGTTGATTCCATCTTTTGCAGACGCACAACGGCTTCATCCATGGCCGCAGCTTTGGTTGGTGGTGCTTTTCTCTCTGCTTTTCTTCAAGTGGCTTTTGACAGGCTGGCTTCTCGTGGTGTCCTCGACTTCTTCAAGAACCGAAAATTGAACGAGACATTACTGAATAAGTTGAAGATCGTGCTGTTATCCATCGATGCTGTGGTTGATGATGCAGAGCAAAAGCAGATCACTAATACAAAGGTGAAGGACTGGATTTATATGGTCAAAGATGCTGTGTTCGATGCTGAGGATGTCTTGGACGAGATTGATTATGAGGTGCTCAAGCGCAAGGTGGAAGCCGAACATCAGAGTAAAACCAGTGTTACGGCCAAGGTACGAAACTTCTTCGGTGCTTCTGTATATTCATTTGAGAAGGAAATTGAATCCAGGATTAAAAATGTCCTTGAAAATCTTGAATATCTTGCACTTCAAAAGGATATATTAAGATTGAATGAACGTGGTAACGGTGCTGCTGTATTAACAAGTTATGTACCTCATAGATTGCCAACAACATCTTTGGTGGATGAAACTAGAACATATGGTAGAGATGATGACAAAAAAACGATCATTGAATGGTTGCTATCAGACAAGGATAACACCCAGCTATCTATCATTTCTATAGTGGGTATGGGTGGATTGGGTAAAACTACCCTTGCCCAGCTCGTTTATAATGATAGGATGGCTATAGATGAATTTGACCTCAAAGCTTGGGTGTGCGTCTCTGATGAGTTTGATGTCCTAAGAGTAACAAGAACAATTTATGAGGCAATCACTATGTCTAGGGATGATACCAACGATTTAAACGTGCTTCAAATTAAATTGAAGCAGCGGTTGAGTCAGAAGAGATTTCTCATTGTTTTAGACGACGTGTGGAATGAAAATTTTATGCTATGGGAGGCCTTGCAATCACCTTTCAATCATGGGGCTCCTGGAAGTAAAATTCTTCTAACCACTCGCAGTGCAAAGGTTGTTTCAACCATGCGTTCTTCTAAAATACATTCATTGAAGCCCTTATCAGAAGGAGATAGTTGGCTGTTGTTAAGTGAATACGCATTCCATGGTAGAGATGCTCTTTCTTCAAGCTTTGACCTTGAAGAAATCGGTAGGAGAATAAGTAAAAAGTGCAAAGGGTTGCCTTTAGCTTTGAAAGCCATTGGGAGTCTCTTGTACGCGGAGTTTTCTCTTGTGCAATGGACTGGCATTTTAAAAAGTGAGATATGGGAGGAGAAAAGCGATAGCAAAATCTCCCTTCTTTGAGATTGAGTTATCATTATCTCCCTTCTTTTCTCAAGAGATGCTTTGCTTATTGCTCTATATTCCCTAAAGATTATGACTTTGACAAGGAGCGTTTAATTCAGTTATGGATGGCAGAAAATTTTCTACCATGTGCCCATCAAAGCAAAGTTGCAAGAGAAGTAGGAGAACAATTCTTCCATGACTTATTGTCGAGGTCATTTTTTCAACAATCAATGGAAGATGAAACACGCTTTGTCATGCATGACCTTATTAATGATTTGGCAAAAGTTGAATATGGAAAATTTTGTCATCTGTTGCTGGTGGATGAAGAAAATAATTTGACAAAAATGACCCGGCATGTTTCATATTTAAGAACTTTCTATGAATACTCCAATCGATTTGCGGTTATGTGCCAGGCTAGTAAATTGCGAACGTTTTTGCCTCTATCTATGCAAGGACATAGAAGTACAAGCCATACCTCTTTCTTTCATTGCATATCTTTCAAGGTTATTCTCGATTTAGTATCCAAGTTCAGATGCATGCGTGTTTTATCTCTGTCTGGTTATCATCACATTGTGAGTTTGCCCGATTCCATAGGAAACCTCAAACATCTACGTTTTTTAGACTTATCAGGAACCAAGATAAAGAAATTGCCTGATTCAATCTGCCAACTTTTTCATTTACAAACGTTAAAGTTGTGGCGTTGTCGTGATTTGAAAAAGTTGCCCATGGATGTGCATAAACTCATGAATCTACGTTATCTTGATTTTCGTGAGACTGGAGTGAGAGAGATGCCAAAGCAATTGAGTAAATTGAAAAATCTTCAGGTGCTGTCATCATTTATTGTGGACAAATGTGGACAGTCAAACATTAAACAGTTGAAAGAATTTAATCTTTGTGGATCAGTTTCCATCTTAGAGTTGCAGAATGTAGTTTCTCCTGCTGATGCTTTGGCAGTAATTTGAGAAACAAGATATACCTTAAGGAGTTAACATTAGAGTGGAGTATGGACCATGGAAAATTGCAAATTGACCAGATGTCCTAGAGAAACTCCAACCTCATCAAAATTTAAAAAAGCTATCAATTAGCAACTATGGTGGTATCGGATTTCCTAGTTGGTTTGCAGACCATTCACTGTCCAACATAGTATCCCTAGAGCTGAGAATTGCATATTCTGTATGTCCTTGCCATCACTAGGCCTTTTCCCATCTCTCAAGTCATTGTCAATTATGGGGTGTCACAGTGTACTGACCATTGGTCTAGAATTTCATGAAACTCTACATCCCTAGAAATCTTGAGCTTTGGGGATATGAAGGGTTGGGAGGAATGGAAATGTGAAAATATGTCCAGTACTTTCTCGAATCTTCAGGAGTTGCGTATTGAAAATTGTCCCAAACTGAAAGGGCATCTTCCTCAACAACTTCCTTCTCTAACGATGCTGGTTATTTGCAATTGCGAGAAGCTTGTGGCTTCCATTCCGTGGGCTCCATCTCTTCATAAGTTGGTTTTAAGACATTGTGGAAAGGAGCAGATGGAATGTCTTCCATCAACTTTAAAAGTTCTCGAGATTTGTGGAGGCTTTGCAGAAATATTATCAGTTGAAAAAATTGAGAATACTATTTTCAATTCCACCATTGAAGAGTTGAAGTTTTCTGATTGTCCCCTCCTGGAATTCCCATTGCACTACTGTCATAACTTCATTTTTGAATTGGATATAAGGGGAAGATGTGACTCTCTGAAGTGTTTTCCACTATGTTTATTCCCCAATCTTCAGTCATTACTGTTGATTGAATGTAATAATCTTCAAACACTATCTGTTTCAGCGGGACAACATTACTCGCTTACAAGATTGTGGATACAAAGGTGTCCTAATTTTGTATTATTTCCTGAAGGTGGCTTTTCGGCCCCAGAGCTAGCATTTTGTTACATTGAAGGATTGAAGAATTTGAAGTTGCTGCCAGAGAAGATGCACATCGTCTTTCCCTCCCTTGCACATCTATCAATAAAATGCTGCCCACAAGTGGAATCATTTCCAATTGGAGGTTTGCCATTAAATCTTCAGCATCTTGACGTTTCAGGATGCCCAAAACTCATGGCCTCTCAAATGGGATGGCATTTGAGTAGACTTACTTCTCTACAACACTTGGGGATTGGAAATGTAGATGATGAGTTCTTCCTAATACAATACTATTTCCACCTTCTCTTGTTACCATTTGGTTCTATAACTGTGCAAATCTTAGATCGCTCGAAAACAAAAGTCTTTGCCACTTGTCCTCTTTGGACTGCTTGGCTTTTCTTGACTGTCCTAAGCTCCAATACTTTCCGAAGGATGGTTTGCCGAGTTCCCTTACGATGCTAAAAATTACAGGCTGTCCCTTGCTGGAAAAGAAGATCCAAAAACAGAAAGGCAAATGCTGGGCAAAGATTTCTCACATCCCTCTTCTTGACATTGACCATGATATGATAATTTTAAGTGAGCTTCGAATGATGAGCGCTTCAGCTTTCGTACTATCGCTTCACTCATTAGGTATATAGCTACTTCCTCTCTATTTCAAATCATAAATTTAGATGGGCCTAATGTGACTAACTATGGTTATTTCTTCTTCTTCTTCTTCTTCTTCTTCTTCTTTTGATATATTGATTTCATGTTTGTATATATCAATAATAGCCGAAAGCCTGAAACTACTCATAATGAACATCTTTTAGTACCATGAGTAACTTCAGTTTTGTCTGTCATTCTCAAGTCTATAATTAGGCATTAGTTGGTTCTAAAGCATACACTAAGAGAAAAGCTTCATTTAGAATTTGATAAAAAAGAAGTAATATCATTTACTTATCCTGCATATAATCTTCCTAAGTCAAAATGTGTCCTCTCTTTATGTAAAAGTTTAATAAGAAATGCGATTCTTATTCTAGGTTCAATTTAGGAACAAATTAATATATTACAAAAGGCATTTAGTCGTCACATATCATGAATTTTGTCAGCCAAACTCAATTTAACTCAACTTTTCAATAGTCATACTTATTTTCTTTTAATTCCAAATCATAAAAATTTGTCTTTTAGTTTTGCATTGATTTGTTTATTGATTCACATATTTAATAGAAAAGTTTCATTTTTGTACACACCAATAAAAGAAGGTGCAGAAAATGAATTTAATCTCTTAGCACAAGCAACACCATTTTCGCCTGTCATACAATTGTAATTAGGCATCAGTTTGTCCCATTCATGCAGTAGAGAAAAACTATTTAAAAATTGAATGAAAAGAAATAATACCATTTACTTATTATGCGTATTAACTTGTTTGGTTAAAATATGATATTTTGTGTTTTACTAAAGCAAATGAAAATACTATTCTAATTTCAATCTAAGGACAATTTAATATTGTAAAAGACATCTAATCATTACATTGTATGAATTTGTTACCCAAACTCCTTTTAACTCTATCGTTTAATAAGTTTAGCTATTATGATGCGGTTAAACATTCTATATTCATGGATCAAATAATAAGAGTGATTGACACCACTTTGACTGATGTTAAACATAATCATATTCCATGATAGTTTTAATATTGTTGACCATTTGCCTTTTTTGAAAGACTAAAAAACTTTGTCATCAATCATTCACATATCAAGTAACACAGTAGCAGCTGTTTTCAGAAAGATCGGGCTTTGACCTACACTTAAGTGAACTACCCTGAATTTCATTGGAGATCAGTCTTCATGAGCTTTGTTTGATGAAAATGGCTCAAAATCACTTGGTTTTCATTGTTGATGAATTGGACAGTTGAGTCATTTTTCATTGCCGTTGAAGGGTCCCAAGCTGGGGACAATCATATATGGTGCTGCAACAACTCCAAACTCTGGTGCCTGGATAGACTAAACTCTGGAACGTACAGTATGTTTTTATACAGGTTACATTGATCTTTCACTTGCTGATCACCAGTTGTACTTCAAACATATTATCAGGAAGAATTCTTGACATGCAAGCTTTTTAGATGATCACACGATAAACAATTAGCTGTGTAGGAAAGTGAGCATTTGATGGTTGTATCAAGCCCAAATTGTCCAGCTTCACAAAGCTGCACATAATGTTCGTATTTTCTGTCTCCCCCCCCCCCCCATTTTTTAGTTGTATATTTAATCATGTTTTTTATATTATATTCTTATGGAAGATTTCATATCAAAGTGAAAAGTCCAATATCAATACAGGACACCATTAGTGTGCTGAGCATATGATTTTTCTTGCTTGTATCTGTATTGTAGACTTACGAATAATTATATTTATTTTAATGTGCCAGTGAAATATTTGTATGACAGTTTGCAGTCACTATTGTTTTATTTGGATATTAGTCAATGGTGAGAATCACTAATAATGATTCTCTCTTTGTTTTGGAGTATTGTTAAACTAATTTGATACTTTAAAAATTTCCTTTGCATTATGTTGAGGCATTTGATTGTTCAACTGAACTATTACATACAGTTCTAGGGAGACAGAGAATGGTGATAATTTAATTTTTGAAGACCTTGGATTGGATGCCATTGCAAAATTTGAGAAATTTTTGATAGCTTAAAGTTTGCATATTAGTTATGAAAACAAAATAAATATGAATCCATGAAATGAAATTACTGCATTTTGGTTCCCCTGCAATTTGAAATCCCAAAGAAAAGTTTCAATGGCATTTGCAGAGACTTATCCAGCTTTCTTTCCAGGCAGGCTGTCATACTGTCCCCTCAACATAAGTGACCCTTCTTGTATTTATAGTTTCCAAACATGAGAAATGTTTCAATGAACCTTAGTTTCCTTCTCTCCATTATCTCCCATGATACAACCATAACCTAAAAGACATATTCATCAAGTCATATTTGTCTAGCACATATCAGGTACCTATTCTTTTTTCCAACCTATTTTATGATCAGAATGTTTCCTATGTCTAGCAGTGTTGGGTAAAGCATGCTGGCGCGCTGCGAATAGGCTAACCCATATTTCCAAGGGAATCACTCAACTTAAAGGTGGCTTCTATTTTCTTACCTGATTATCCATGCTCTCATGTATCTTCATATATCAATTCATGACAGATTTGATCCTAATTACAACAAAACTGAGGATTGTGAGACACATGGTTTCATTTTTGTTCATGGGAACTAAACCAAATTGCAA